CAGCTGCCCTAGAATGCTGTGGTACCTCTCAGGCATTCTCAGCCCACTCCTAGATGCCATGGACACGGCTGGTTTTGAAATCACCTTCAGGATCCCTCCCCTGCCATAGTGTGCCTTGATAAGGAGAACATTCTCAGGTGTTCTAAACTAAATTACAGCAGGAGATAGATAGATAGATAGATAGATAGATAGATAGATAGATAGATAGAACTGTTAGTCTATTAATGATGGCTTGGAGCCAACTACCAAAGGAGAGCTCACATTCCTGTGGAAGTCTTTGGAAGTGTGTATTAATTTCCAGATGACTCATTCTGCAGATTCCTAAGACCATGGTTTCCACTGGACCCTGGTTCCCACTGGACATGCTGCAGCCACAACTGAGCCCAGCAGCTTCTCTTACTCGGCAGCTCTGACACAGCTACACACGGCTCAGGCCTCTGCTCAGGCTGGAACTAGAACTTCACCCAATGAGTCTGTCAGCCAGTACTGCCTCGGGGATGTTTGTAATTTGTTAAATAATATGTTTGTATCAATTTTATACAGAGAGAACGGGAGAGGGATAGAGAGATAGACACATCTAACTCCAGGCGCCTCCGCTTGTTTATACGTGGGCTTTCTGGACCACTGCCCACAGCCAGTCTCCAGGAGCACACCTTTCTTCATTCAAATTCTGCTCCTATCCCAGAGCTGGCCTCCTCCTTCTCTCACCCCTTTGCCTATAGGTCATGTAAATTTCTTTTAGATTAACTCTTTTTGTACCCCCCCCCCATTTGGTGTATAAAAAGCTTGCAATACTCTGGGACAATGGGCATGTCTTTTCTACCATGCTGCTGGAGGGTTGGACTCCATGCCTCAAGACGGGACTTGCTTTTGGTGAGCATTTTAGTTAATAAAACCTTACTTACAAAAAAGACTTTCAGGAGGTCAACGGAGAGCCGGGGAACAAGCCAGCACCCAGTGACATGGTGTGGAGACAGGGGCAGAAAGTCCTCCTGCCGGAGACGATTCCCAGGAAAAGTGACCCGCAGGGTGTGAGGCCCATGGAGAAGTTGGAGAAGGATGTGATGGTAGACGAGGAAGGGGCAGCAGTACTCACATCTCCAGAGCCTCCGCTTCCCAGCAGTCCTGGAGATTCGGTGAGGACAGAGGGGGAGCAGAACCAGCAAGAAGGAATTGGCCATGAGCATGTGGATGCTGCTGATGTGCCTCCCCCACCCATGTTCCGGAAACACAGGCTTTGACTCAGCGTCCGAAGAGAAGAGGTTCTGGGAATCCAAGAGGTGCCCCCAAGAGAAAAAGGGGCAACACTCCCACCCCCCAAGAGGAGCCTCAAGAAGGAGCCGTGTCGTTGGACAAAGGACAAGTCACCAGACAGCACAGGTGCAAGTCAGTTGGTACACCAAGCACCGTGGAGTCAACTGGTCACCCTGTTGGCAAAGAATCTAGGCGACAGATACCATACGAGTGTCAAGACTGCAGCAAAAGTTTCAGTTTAAAGGTCCAACTGAGATTTGTAACTGAACCTCCCAAGAGATTCATTCAGGCCTCGGACCACTACGTCCACCATCGGATCCAATGGGCGAGAAGCTGTACCGCTGTACCATCTGCATGAAGAGGTTCACCCACGAGTCCACGCTATTTGGCCACCAGCAGGTCCACACCCAGGAGAAGCCATACCAGTGCTACATCTGCCACAAAAGGTTCAGCCACCGCAGGAACCTCAACATTCACATGAGCACCCACTCAGGTTAATGTGATTTTGGATGCAGAAACTGCCCACCTCAACCTCATCATCTCTGATGACCTGAAGAGTGCTAGACTTGGAAACAAGTGGATCCATATGCCTGACAGTCCAGAAAGATTTGATAGCTGCATTTTTGCCCTGGGCTCTCCGAGCTTCCGCTCTGGCCGTCATTACTGGGAAGTGGAGGTGGGGGACAAGACAGGGTGGGTCCTGGGTATCTGCAAGGCAGCCACAAGCAGAAAGGGAACAAGCCAGCACCCAGTGACATGGTGCTGTCGCCAGAGAATGGCTACTGGGTGGTGATGATGATGAAGGGAAATGAGTACCAGGCATCCACCTTCCCCCCGACCCTCCTGCGGGTGAGGGAGCCCCCCAGGCGTGTGGGCATCTTCCTGGATTACAAGGCTGGAGACATTTCCTTTTACAATGTGACAGCCAAATCACACATCTACACATTCACCAGCTTCTCTTTCTCTGGGCCCCTTCAAGCTACCTTCAGCCCTGGGACACATGGTGGAGGGAAGAACATGGGTCCTCTCACCATCTGTCCAGTCAGTGACCAGGGGCCTCACTGAAAGCCCTACACTTTGCATCTCTCTTCCAATTCCCAGCCTTGTACTTTGAACTTATACTCTCGCCAGTTATTATTGAACATACATTGGGTTCTGGGTGCTTTGGGAAATATAATAAATCAGAGAATAGTCCTTGTGCCCTAGGAGCTTATGGAATAGTAGAAATAAGCTAGGTACGCAAATAATGGTAAACCAGGGGTGAAGAGAACACATATGCTGATGACATGCCATGTTTTTTCAGAGCAGAAAGTGCACGGCTTAATAAACCCTTGTATGGATTAACACCCTAAGCTGCTCCTGCGACAGAGATTCCACCCTCATGTTCCCTCAGTACCCATGGCAAGGATATGTCCCCTTATTTTATTCTCCCCAGTCTTGAGGACTTGTCTAGGGGGAAAAATTAAGCAAAGTGGCTTACTATAATTTTTTTTGTATCTGGATTAATGAACTATGGTTCTTAAGAGTATTGGCTATGCCTGATAAATAAATTGATTAGAAAATTTAATCATAATTCCATTTGCTGTCACTTGATTGATTGCTGTGAGATACCATTTCCCCACTGAACACCATGAAAGAGATGGAGCTACTGTGGTGGGAAAACATTTGACATATATTCTAAGTGTCAAATTTTCTGTCCTAATCTCTGTCTGAAAATCTGTGGGAATATTATGTGCTTTAGTTCACAGATGTCCCTCTATCATCACCCATTTAAAGACATGTAAAGAGAAGGGATATAAGGGGTGGGGGGGCCCAATCAAGATTAAACTCCAAATTCTTCCTACCACACCTCTTTCCACGTCTTCACACTAGAGCCAAATTGGACCCCAGTTCTGCATGGTTATGACCAGACCACGAAACACATGCTTTGCTGTCTTCACCGAGCTTGGTTCTATGCGAATAATCTATATGCTCACACAGTTCACATGCCCTACTTGTTTAGCTGTTCCCTATGGTTGGTCATTTATTACTCCCAATTATCCCTTACTAATAACCTTTTCACAACCAGCTTTGTATATATTTTCCCCCACCTCCCCGTACACTTATTTTTTTCTCCTGTTATTCCCAAAATGGTTCTAAAATATAAACTGTTTGATAACACCTGCTACAGTGGCCAGATAATCCTTCAAAAAGATTAAACAAATGTTTCTGCCCAAAGCAATGTTTGACTTTTTTTTTTCTTTTCTGATTTAACAGAGATGTAATGGGGTTTTACCTGTGTTTTATAGCATTAATATTTATTGAATATTTATTTATTTATTTATTTGAAGGAATCCTCAAAAGAAATGGAAACTTACTCCTACAAAAAAACTATAACTGGTTTCAAAGAAGAGTGCTTTGGGTGATTTCTGGTAATTCTTGGGAGAAAACAAAACAGGGAATATAATCTTAAAACCAATGGGTTAGAACAGAGGATTGAAGTAAGTAGAAAAGTATACCTTTCAAGAAATAATTATTTTAAAACCCCACAAGATAAAAATAAATAAATAAATAAAATGAAATCCACAAGCTAAGGGGAGACACTTTTGAGAATATTTGAAATACAAAGAACAGAATATAAATGCTATAATTACAGGAGCATATCATAGCCACCTGGGCACATTAAGGATACAGAAGTTATTTTGACAACCATCTCAGAGATTAAGTAGAGGAGGGAGAGATTTGAACTCTTCATATAGATGCCGAAAGTCTCACCATCTAAGAATAGCAACAAAAAGTTCTATGACTTTAAAGCTGAGTCTATTCAGTGAATGTCTAGTTCATGCATGCTATGCCCCAGGAGCTGGAAATGGAAAAATAAATCTTTGAAAAGCTTCTGAAATGTAGGTTTAGAGTTGTTGGTGGGGAAAATGATAACTAATAAATAAAAACACAGGAATAAAATCTGCTCCCGCAAGTGTGCCTCCGTTGGGAGGGTGTCATCCAGTGCACTGAAATGTCCTGGTTCATTTCCGGGTCAGTGCACAGTCCCACCTGGGTCTCCAGTAAAGGGTGTGCAGGAGGGAGCTGATGGGCATTTCTCTCACTCCCTCTGCCTTCCTCTCTTCCAAGAAATATAAATAAAAGTATTTAAAAATATGTTTTAAAAGAGCAAACTCTGTGGTTTGTGTATTCGCAACTTTAAGTTTACTTTTGCCACACCTTGTTTATGAGTGACAGAGTAGATTATTTCATATGTGATGGTTTCACAGCTGTATTTCTATGTCAAGGCTCAACAATAGTACACATTAGGAAAGTGCACTTCCTTGGATGTCTGTTCTCATTTCCTGGGAGGAACAGCTTTGTCTCAGTGACAGCAAATATTGACAAGCAGTGAAGGCGATTGCCTTCTGAATCAGCAGAAATGCTGACTGGCTACAAAAGTCACATCCTGGGACTGATTACAGGATTATCCTTCCTCCAGCCTCGAGTTCTTACATATTGAGAAATGACCTTGTGGTGAACACCATATAGAGATGGGAATATACAAAACCATAACGTATTTTATCTGCCAATGACTTCAGCTACAAGAAAAGCTTTTGGAGGTTCTGAGAATGTCTGTACACAAAGTTCACACAAGTCACAGGCTCAGGAACATCACTGCATTTATGTCAGAAGAGACACTTTCCATCTAATGTACTGCAGTCTCTGCCATCCCTATGAATACAGTGTTTCTGCCTCAATAGCAGTTTAACCTCAGAGTCACAAATGTCACAAGATTATGAAATTTTGTACTTCATGGCACATGGCTCCTTTGCAGTACATGGGTAAGAGTTCCCCTAAACCAGTGATTCCCAAAGTGGGCACTACCGCCCCCTAGTGGGCGCTGCAGCAATCCAGGGGGGCAGTGATGGCCACAGGTGCATTTGTTTTAACTTTTTTTGTATTACCTTTCGATTCTGAGTTCAATAAATAGTTTCATAATTTCAAACTTCAATGTTTCTAATTTACACCTTTCTTTACTATATTTTACGAAAAAGGTAGAAACATTAATACATATATCTTTCTGTTTAATTGCTATTAAAATTTTAAAAAAATAATTTCCAGGGGCGCTGAGTAATATTTTTTCTGGAAAGGGGGTGGTAGGCCAAATAAGTTTGGGAACCACTGCCCTAAACATTGCTGAGACTTATGTAACACATACTATGAACAGAGACTATAATTCATATTGTTAACAGAAGGACAGCAAAGGTCTCCTCTTCTGGGTGACCATTGACCTCACCAATAACCAAGGTACTGGGATGCAAATTACAACCACAAAGTCATGCCATCTTTCTTTCAAGGCCTTGGGCAGCAATGCAAAATAAGCTGGTTTTGGACTGTGCTGGGCTGCATATCTGGCGCTTCGGCCAGACCGGTCATGCTGTGCTGTCTGTTCTTAAAACACATAGATAGGAAGGTACTGACATCAGGCCAGGCCTTGAGATATGGTCTCATGGCCCCTTCCCAGCACTCTGTACTCTCTCTTCCTAGAACACATAGATAGGAAGGTAGTCACTGTAATGATGCTGTACTGTGTCGGGAACTAAGGTTTTGTAACTTTGTGGTATTTGCAAATAAAAATGCTGTAAATCTTGCAGTCAGCACTGCAGTTCAGCCTCTGCTTCGGCAGGGTGCTGTAACTGTAGTCGCTGGCCATGGAAGTCAGCACTGCAGTTCAGCCTTTGCTTCGGCAGGGTGCTGTGACTGTAGTCAGCTGGCCAGCTTAATAAAGGCTCTTAAATTTAAATTCTGAGTGGGTGGTCTATCTCGCTGAGTGAACCCATAATAGGACAAAGAGAGATTTTTTGACATCATGCTCTGCCTTCTGAAGCACTGAAGTTTTGATGTCCCCACAATATCTGTTCATATCTACATGCTGACAGATCACAACAGTGCTTTCAAATCAGGCAGGCAGTGAATAGAACAAACACAATGGTACAATAGGAAAACATTTTTACCAAAATACCATAAACCAGAGCCAGCAGTGTTCTAATTGGTGAAATAGAACCTAAGCCAATCATCACAGCATAATGTGAAAACTACAAACTCCTTGAAACAGGTACCATTTCCTTGCTGAGGATGGGTGTTCTGGACAAACCCTGGGTCAGTCCCATTCCACAATCAGAGAGAAAAGAATGAAGACCCTGCCAAGAGTTCAGAATATTCAGAATTTATTTAAGCACAAGAGAGAACGCAGGGTTTGTGGCTGGTTCACACTGTTCAGGTGAGCCAGGTGGTTGAGGAGAAATCACTTCAGCCACAATCATTCACAGTGACATCAATTGGCTAGTAGGCCTGGGCAGGATAGCAGTGCAAGCAGCTCCTTCAAGCCTCTCTTGTACCTGAAACTCATGGGGAATCTAGCAAAGTGTATGTCCTGATAAAAAGGGATTATATTAAGGTAAATGTGTAAGATAGAGTCACCTTAAGTGTTGCTATTCTGAGTAAGAAAAATGAAATATTCCCGACACATTTAAGGCAGTGTCTGCCTTACCTGTCACCCACCCCCTAATTTTTTTCTTTGCGGAGAAGAAGCTGTAAATGTTTTGTAGCTGCCAGAGCTGTTTCCTGTGGAAACCTGGGGTGCCAGCCTGTATAGATCCTGTTCCTGGGGGCTGCACAGCCCTCTTGCTTTGCGTTATGGGGACTTCCCTTTTGTGCCCTGCGTGCACCCCTCCCCAGTTTAGGCGTCTCTAGGGGCAGTGGCCATGTTCTCCCCCTGGGGAGGGGGGCCCTGTGCCTCCCAGTCCTGGGGACTCCGTGCCTGGAACCCTGCCTCATTTTTTGTTCCTGCCAGACCCTGTGGGTCACCCTTCTACCCTGGTGTCTGTAAGCTCTGGTTGGGCCAGGCCAGGATGGCGGGAGGAGCGGGCCCTTCCTGTTGGGCTGGATTGTACATGTTAACAGCAAAGACCCAATGCCACATTTTTATAATTGTGATTAAACTTTATTGTACAAAAAAACTGTTTGAAAGAAACAGAGAATCAAACAGTATTTCATTGCAAACAAAAGCTAGACAGTAACCACACACTCCCCGACTGAACGCACTGGGAACCCGCGGCCCTGAGGCCGGCCACGGGCTCAGTGGAACGTGATCCGGAAGCTGCGCTCCTGCTCCTTGGGCCGCCCCTCGCACACCTTGGTCACCTCCTCCACCTTCCTCTGCAGCAGG